TCTGAAAACCCTGGGGCTCCCTGGGTGGTATAGGGGAGAGAAAGATCTTTTGTTGTATTTGGTCTTAGTCTCTAAATCCTGACATAGTGCTTTTAAGACCCTTGGGACGCTAAAAGTAAACTGTTGTTGTACGCCAATGAGAGGACTGCTGGCTGGGGCCCTAGGTAGCTTCGGGGGATGCTGATCACCTGCCTTCGAGAGCAAGGTGTGAGTAGAAAGTTGGAATTTGCAGCCGCAGCCTCTAATTTCTGAGAGGGGAGCAGGGCTGGAGGCGAAGCTCATCACCAGAGAGCCCCGTGGTTCATCCCTCATGAATCCTCCCTAAACCTTTAAGCAATGGAGTTCAGAGAGGTCTCAAGTTGCTAACGGGGTCCAAATCCATGCACTGAGAGCGTGTTACGCCAGCAAAGGACATGGAAGCTCTGTGCACCATTGTGTCCTCCCCCAGCACCTGTGATGACATCTGAGGTGGGGGCAGGTGAGACTGACCCCTTCAACTTGTGGGAGTCTGATGTTGATTCTAGGAGGATGCTGTCAAAATTGAATGTCTAGACACCCAGTTGATGAATGGGTTGGTATATGAGGAAACTCTTCACATTTGTGGTCTGAATGTTTTGGTTTTTTGTTTTGTACTTTAGGGAAGAGTCTGTAGGATGTTCAGGGTCTCACTACTAGATCAGACTCATAGTGATCCTCCTGTTTACAGCTTCCCAAGAGCTGGGATTATAGGCATGCATCACCACACCCAGTCTCAATCTCTGTCTCCTGCACCCCAGGGGGCGAGGCCAGCATGGCAGGCCTGGGATTGAAGCCCTGGCCCCTGTGCCTGCTTGTAGGCACTTTAATCTGCTGAGCTATGTGGCCGGGCCCTGAAGTGGCATGGCAAAAAGCACATCAGAGGACTGGGGAGATAGCTAGACAGTCTAAGCACCTGCCTGGCGAGCACAAGGACCCAGGTTCAATGCCCGGTACCACATGCCATGTCAGCCCTGCATTGAGCTGGCCACTGGAACTGGATGTGGTGGTGCATGTCTGTAATCCCAGTGCTGGGGATGAGTCTGAGCTGTGTAGTGAGACCCTGTACCAAGTAAATAATTTTTTTTTTTTTTTGGCAGAACCAGTGATTGAACTCAGGCCCTTGTGCTTGCCAGGCAAGCGCTTATTCTACTGAGCTATCTCCCCAGCCCATAAATAATTTTTTTAAATATTTTAAAACATCAGAGCTTCCATGACATTAAAATGTCAACCAGGATCCAAGGACACCTCTATAAAGAGCCCCATTTCCTAAGATTTGAGCCCCAGAATTAAAAGTTTCCCCATCTTGCCCTCATTTCTGCCACCCTTCACACTAACCATGCATGTGAGAAGAAAGTATTATGTGGATCATTATAGAGACTAGTATTTACTGAGCCCCTGACGGCCATGGTATCAGGCCCTGAGCCGGGGGCTCTGTGCACAGCACGGTCTTTGCTGGGCACAGTTGCCACAAATAATTCACCTTAGAGATGCTCTTGGACTTGAGGACTTCCTGGAAACCACTAAGAGGAAGACCCCACCACCATCCAAGGCTGGAGCAAGCAGGAGCTCAAGCCTGGCCAGGCTGTGTTTCTTCCTGGAAAGTCTAGGAAAGGTGGAACCTGCCCTGTCTCCCAGGCTATCGGCCCCACCTCTCCCAGAGATCCCTGCTGTCCACCCCCCTCTAGGTGGAGTGTGACCTCCACTACAGGTGGCACATCTCACCCTTGTCTGGCTTGCAGGAGAATGCCCAGGACTGCGGTGGTGCCCCCGACACCTCGGCCTCGCTCCTCCTGCTCCTCCTGCCTCTGGGTGCCTGCGTGATTCAGCTTTAACTTCTGCAATAACACAACTCACTCTGACCCCACGGCGGAAGGGGCTTCTTCCAGAGACATTCTGGAAAGTCAGCTGAAGACCTGCTCCCTGCAGCCAGGTTGTCTCCCAGGCCCAAACCTCGTCTTAGTCCTGAACTAATGGTCCCTGCTGGAGTGGGGAGTGGCTACTAATTGCCTCCTCATGAACACTCAAGAAGAATGCTGCTGGAAAGAACAAAAAAGCCAACGTCCCAGAAGTCATTTCCCAAAGACCCTCAAGAGTGGCCAGTTTCATTCACCCCGAGTCCCAAGTCTCCACAGGTCTCCTCTTACTCTCTCTCTCTCTCTCTCTCTCTCTCTCTCTCTCTCTCTCTCTCTCTCTCTC